TGGAGGGAGTTCTTAGTAAAATTGTACAGAGCTACTCATGCAAGTGAGGCATTAAGAACCCATAGGCCCTGAGTTTACGGCCACTTCCTAGCTATACAACCAAGCTGCTAAACCTCTCTCGGTCAGTTTCCTCAGCTGTAAAATGGACTTAAAAACTGACCCAACTTAGAGAGCAGCTGTGAAGTTATAAACACACAGTGCTCCGCACATGGGAAAGCTCGAAAATGTTAGCATATTGTTAAACATGCATATGCATTTTTAAGGGCCTAGTACCACTCCCCCATTCCCCCCACCACCACCACCAAGGGGGAAAAAAAAAAAAGGCAACAGGGGAAGTACAGCTTTTGCTCTTCCCTGGGTCAGTTTCATTCCCCATCCCTCTCCTGGGGAGAGGGGATTAGAAGTTTAGATGCTTAAGAATGAAGCCAAGCAGCAACATTTGAGATATTTTAAGACTGGCCAGTGCTGAACAACGCAGTTTTACAAGTCAGCAGTTTTGAGTTAAATGTGGTGGGACCAGGGCTCTAAGGCAGAGGGGCTCACACTTAGCGTGCAAGTGGGTCTTCTGGGGATCTCGAAATGCTGATGCTTTCTCTGTAGGTCTGGGAAGGGGACCGGGGTTCTATGTTTTTTACCAGTTCCCAAGTGATGACGAGAGGGATGGTCCAAGGGCCATGTCTTAGGAGCATGGCCTAAAGACCTGTGGCCTTGCATGGTGGTCACTAGCCACAGGTGGCACCATATGTATAGATATTTGAATGTAAATCACTTTAAAAAATTAAAAATTCAGGACTAGTAGATGGTGCAATGGTTAACATTGCCGGATTTCTGCATGGTTGACCGCGGTTCGAGTCCCAGACTCGGCGGCTTAAAACTTAACACTGGGCGCGTATGCGTGCGTGCCCAAAATCCTGAGAGGAGAATGGAGAAGAGATTGCGGTGTGGCTATCTCTCCTGGAAAGGAGGGATAATTTTTCACTGTGTGTCCCTCTGACGATCACACACGCTCTATAGCAAAAATTTCTCTTAAAAAATAAATAAAAAATTTAGTTTCTTGGTTCCTGTAGCCACATTTCAAGTGGTTAAGACCCCCATGTACCACATTGCTAGTGGAGATGGGGAACGTCTCTGTCATGGTAAAGTGTTCCACCAGACAGCCTACCACACGGCACAGGCTATGCAGGCCACAGGGTAGGCATGGAGGACAGAACACCGCACTACGGGGCCTTTGATCACCAGATCACGCCTGTGCCATGCCCTCCTCAACAAAGCACCAGCCGACTCCAATTTTCCACTAAGCCCCAAGAGCGATTCCAAACAATACGGGCCTCTCTCTCCTAACCAACACCAGATGTGGCTACGCAGGGCCCCACCGCATCTCTGATAAATAATTTACATACTGCGTGGCATCGCATGACCCGGGAAGAACAGGGGACACTGCCGACATATGTGTCCCTCTGGCTGCAGCAGCTGGTTAGCAAAGCTGGATACACGGCCGACTACACACTTACTGAAATATTCATGAGCGAACTGCAGTGAGACGACTCTGCGGCAGTTTTGTGGAGAGGATTTCTCCAAACCCGCTTGTTTGGGACAGGCCATTTACATTACCTGAGTGCGCTTGCTGCTAAATCCTCAAGAGGGAGATAAACACCTCCGAAGATCCGAAAGAAATCTTCGAGATGCATGAAGGCAGCTCTCTGGCCTCCGTAAATGCTGGGTTTATCTCCCTCCATAGGTTTTAGTCAAGCCAACCACAAAAGAAACTGTTAAGAAGTCTTTAAATGAAACACAAGAAACACATCTACACCACAGGGACCAGTTAGAGCCCCTGGAACTCTCCAGTTGAGGCCGCTTCAATATGTGGACAGTGATTGTGGTTTTCTGTTTGGGCCCCTAAATGGAAAGACTTGGGACCACAGATGGTGTAATGCCTATGTCACTGGACTCCCGTGTAGTCAACCGCGGTTCAAGTCCTGGCTTAAACTCACGCCGGGCGCATGTGTGTGCGTGCCCAAGATCCCAGAAGGGGAATAGAGGAGAAGGGGCTGTGGCATGGCAATCTCCCCTAGGGGTGATTTCTCTCTTTCTGTCTCTCTGGCAAGTGTACGCGCCCTATAGCAAAAACCTCTCAAAAAACCAATTTTTTTTAAAAAAGAAAGACTCATGTTTGGAACAATTCTTGGTACCCCGATTCTCCTCAGAGTAAGTCAGAATCTCATGAAAACGGAGTGTATGGGACTACCTCCAAGGATGTCACCCATGGGAGACCTAAGACTGGATTTGAATCAACCCAGCATTTAAAACTGGGGGACGGCTAGAGCCAATTTAGAAACTCCCTTAACCAGAAATCGTATTTTGGGATCCTGGTAGTATTCTACAACTTAATCGCTCCTCCTGGTTCAGACACCTAATTAATTTTCGGTACCCTAAACAAAGACCCCGAGGCATCCCCGGTGGTACTCAGTCTGGCCAGAGGCACTAATGCCATCCTGAGTTAAGTGACCTGTTTGGGACAGGGAGGAAAAGCACAGTGACGGTCTGCCGGGGTCAGGGTGAGGAGGAGGCAGGCTCTGGTGAAGGGACAGGCTCTCCACTCACAGAGACCCCCCTCTGCCTCACGTGAACTGGCTCCCAGGAACCAGAAGCTCTCTGCACCTCCACTTTTCCATCTTTAAAGGAGGGTCATGAGAACCAACTCGCCAGACGGCGGCAAGGAATTACCAAGGTGACACTGGTACGGTTTCAGTTGCTGGAACTTACTGTACATAAATCACCGTAAAATAAATTGACATTCACTTTGAGAATGAGGAAGCCAACCACAGCAGGCCCAACTCGCTGGACTGTGTGCTGTTTGTTTTGAAAACCCTCCTTATCCCTTCACCAACGATAACAGGCTTCCTCTGCTTCTCTTAAATAAATACTTGGAAGCAAACTTGTTCCCGGATGTTGAGAAGTGCTGTTGACTGCGGTTGTGTTTTTGCTCCCCCAGCCACCATCGGCCCTAAGGTGTAGGAGGTGGCTCTGCCCCAGGAATGTATCCTACGGCTGGCAGCATCTACGGTCAAAGGTGAATGGGGCCTTGGGACCCACGGAGGATTGAAGCGGCCTCGGGAGCCCAGTGGTCTCACTGGTCGGCCTGAGGCCAAGGAGATGGATGTGTCCTTGCGTCTCACCTGAAGGCTTGTAACAGTGAGGCGGCGGGCGTCGTCGGAGGGCGCGATGATCGGCACCAGGTAGGGGCTCTCGGGGATGTGCTCATCATTGAACTTGATGGACACTTCGTAGTTACCTGTTGGGACAGGAAAGTGCCATGGTGTCAGAGATTCTGGGAAGGTGGTTCCAGAGCCCCTCCCTGAGGGCCACAGTGGGTTGGCGCAGGTTGCGTCACCCCAGGCTGAGGCTCAGCCATGGTAACTTTCGTACCTGGGCAAGCCCAGGGATCCTCTTTTTTTCTTTGTCATGTGGCATGTGCATTCGCCAGAAAGAGGCAGAGAGAAGAAAGCTCTTTGCAATATGCATTGCCGCACCTCAAGCTCTTCTCATTTCTCCATCCTGTCAGGATGTTAGGCACACGAGCCACGTGCCCTGCATGTTTTTCAAGTCCAAAGGCCAGGATTCGAACCATGGTTGGCTATACGAGAGCAAGCCCAATATCTTCCCCTCTCGATACCTTCATATATTGTGTCGTCAGGAAAAGTCATGCCATAGGTTTCTATGCAAAAATGCATCATGATGTTCCCAATGACCAAACATTGTTAAAAGAATTATTTATTTTATTTTATTTATTATTTTTTTAAATTTGCTATAAGGCATATGTGCTTACCAGAGAGAGACACAGAGAGAGAGAGAGAAAGTGAGAAAGCAAGCCACCACATCCAAGACTCAAACCACAGTCAGCCATGGAGGAGTCCAGAGCCCCAACCACAAGGCCACCTGCTGCCCCCTCATAACTCTATTTTAATATCATTACATTTTGGGGGACTAGCAGTTAGTGTAATGGCTATGTCGCTGGATTTCCATGTAGTCAACCGCGGTTCAAGTCCCGGACCCAGTGGCTTAAAACTCACACCGGGCGCGTGTGCGTGCGTGCCTAAGATCCCAAGACAATAGAGGAGAAGGGATTGCGGCGTGGTCATACCCCCTGGGGGGGTGATTTCTTGCTTTCTGTCTCTCTGTCTGTCTGGCGAGACGCGCCCTATAGCAAAAATCTCTCCAAAAAAAAAAAATCATTACGTTTTTTGAATAATCTAATAGTTTCACTTTGTGTTTTGAAGCCCAAGAACCATCCCTACGGGCTTTGCCAGATGCCAAAAGGGGCCACGGCACAGCGAAGGTCAGGAACTACTCTGGGAAGTGCTGAGGTCACGGCCACTGCTGGGGCAGCCACAACAGCCATGGGCCATGACAGAGGATGGTCAGCAGAAAGAATGAAGCCGCTGCATGAAAGCAGGAAGCAGAGAGGCCAGCAGGGACAGACGGAAAATGGGAACAGAAGTTCGGGCCCCCTGGAGGCCTGGCTGCGTTTCCTGCAATTGGGTTCCAGGAGGCTCCCTGGGTGCTGTGCACATAGATTCCTCATTCACTCCAGCCAGCTTGACGGGTTTCTGTCCCTTGTTACCTAGCCATCACGGAACAAGGAAAACATCCTCAGATGACGCTTCAGTACATACCGGGCTCTTGGGCAATGTAAGACACGCCGCATGACCCATTTTTGTGGTCGTCGAACGTAATCTCTGCCTTGCTGGGGCCCTCGACGGCGATGGAGAGACCCCCGGCGCCTGCTTCCCGGGTCCAGATGCTGAACTCGGCTGAGAGCAAAGGAACACCTGGTTAGTGACAGCGCCGCACCCTCCTCTTGTTCAAACCTGCGGTGGCAGCTGGGTTTAGTTCACTGACAGCTCCTTCCGCCTTCTCTGACCCCAAGCAGAACTCAAGCAAGGGCCACTGCTGAGGTTTCCTAAGCACCAGTAATAATTACTAAGTTCGGGGCCATCTGGAGCCTTTTGAATATACATAAACCAAGTCAGAAAAACATGAGGCTGTTTTCCCCCACAGATCTTCCCACCAGCAATCACACAAAGAGAGACCCTCACACAGGCTTTGCAGTAGCTAGTGTATCCCACAGAACGTCAGTTCTGAGGATCCTGGGAACAGCCTGTACCTGCTCCCGAGAGACGCAGAGGCATCAGCACATTATGGGACCTGAGAAGTCCCTCTATAAGAAACCTGCTCCGCTGGAGGTAAGTGAGTAATTCCCAGACTTCTTTAGCCACAGAAGCCTTGTCTTAAAGGATGCCTCTCAGTGGCATGGTGGTTAAAGGCACCGGACTCCCACGTGGCTGACCACAGTTTGACTCCCAGACCTGGCAGCGTGCTTTCTCACTTTCCTTTTCTCTCTTTCTCTGGTCAAATTTAATAATAAGAATGATAAATGAAGTTAAATAAAATCATTCTTTGGGAAAGAAAAAAAAAAAAAAAAAAAAAGAATACCTCTCAGGGGCCAGCAGGTGGCATAGCAGTTACGTTGCTGGACTCCCACATGGCCAACCGTGGTTCTAGTCCCAGACCTAGTGACTTGAAAATCACACTGGGCATGTGGGTGTGCATGCCTAAGATCCTGGGAGGAGAACAGAGGACAAATGGACAATGTGATTACTCACATTCCTGC